ATAAAGAGATAAATATAACAACTAACAAAGTCTTATTTTTGCTAGTTTTCGAGTTTAACTAGGATTTATTGCTTGAATAGGACTCTAGGTTATGTACTTGAAACTTTCTAATTGATTTAGGGTTAAAAAGCAACAGAATCTAGATGTGGGCTCTTCATAAAGATTGTAGGAATGGAAGTCTTCTTTCTTTAGGCTTTTGAATCATCTTAATATAGTTTTTGTAACTTCGATAAGGTCTAAACACTAGGCAATGTTCTAGATTGTCATGAAATTTGAATTTCTTTTGGATTATTCTCTAACTTTGTAACCGAGTTTAGCGAGACCAAAATAGAATGGATTTGTGCATTTAAACCAAATTTGGAAAGCTTAAGACATCCACTTTTATTCTCAAGAAGGCCTTTCTTATGTTCTAGAGTTCTAAGGATGCGAAATTCTCATTTCTTCCTTTGAAGGTCAATTTGCCGAATAGGAATTTTGCCTAAATTAACATACTTTTACTTCTTCGACTTTAATCATCTCCTAAATTACAAAATAAACGTAATTCAACAAATATATAATCTAAAATCACATCCAAAAGACTAAATGTAAAAGAATAAATATCATCAATAATGCTCAATATCAACTATTTTTTTCTAAACTAGACTTGTATGCGAGTTATCACCAAATCATAATGTATGTTTTAGACATTCCTAAGCAATTTTTAGAACACATAATGGTCACTATGAACATTTGAGTATGCCTTTTGGTTTAACTAATGCTCTAAGTACTTTTCAATTTTTAATGAATGATTTTTTATACTTTTTCTTCGAAAATTTATTATGGTATTCTTTGATGATATACTAGTTTTTAGTAAAACTTTACAAGAGTATTTTCATCATTTATAAATTGTATTGCCTATGTTGAGGAAGAATTTTCTATTTGTTAAACACTTGTAAATGCACCTTTAACACTCTAAAGGTGGAATATTTAGCACATTTTATATCTAAAGATGGAGTTCAAACTAACCCTAAGAAAATAGAAATGGTGCAGCAATGGCCAAACAACAAAATCTTATAATTGAGAGGGTTTTGGGGCCTCAATGATTATTACATATATAAAATGTAAAATTATGAAAGGATTGCTAAACCTTTAATAAATTTGCTCGAGAAGGATGAGTTCCAAAAGAATCCTTTGATAGTGCCTTTGAGGAGTTAAAAAATGCAATGGTAACTATTCTCGTGTTGGCTTTACCAAAGCCTAATGAAGATTTTATGATAGAAACTTATTCTTCTGGAGTGGGAATATGGGTAGTGTTGATGCAATAGTTGCACCCTATTGCTTATATTAGTAAGTTGTTGAACACTAAGCATAAGACATTATCCATATATCAAAAAGAGCTAATTGCCATTCTATTTGTTGTTAAAGAGTGCCATCGGTACTTAGGAGATATGTATTTTATTAGAATTAATCATAAGAGTTTAAAACACTTAAGGAAAAAATTCATACTACTCGGTTAACTTACTCGGTTAGTTAAGTTGATGGGCTATAACTATGAAATTATGTATAAAAAAAAAGGAAGGAAAACATAATCACGTATGCTTTTTCAAGGATACAACCACTAGCCATTGTTGTTTCTTCTATTTTTGCTAATCTAATGACAAAGATTCATAATTCTTAGAGTTTAAATCCTATCTTGTCGGTTGTGTTATCTTAGTTGTAGGTTCCTAGTGAGGTACATCTAAAATGTGTTTGGCGGGACTAATAATTGAGAAGGAAAGATAGATTGGTGCTTAGCAATGATGGTGAATTATATAAGGACTTATTTCCTAATTCCATGATTTAGTAGTAGGGGACATTCCGATATTAAAGGTACTACAAAAAAAAAAAAAAAGAAACCTTTATTCTACTTGAAGGGATTACTTTAAGAGGTGTGAGAGTACGTGAGAAATTATACAATTTGTCAAGAATGAAAGTATGAAAATATAGTCACTCCGTGTCCGTTGAATTCACTCGCCTTTATCTCAAGCAATGTTCATGGATATTACCATGAATTTTATTAAAGGATTACCAATTTCTTAAAGTAAGTCCGGGATATTTATGGTGGTGGATAGGTTAACCGAATGTGTTCATTTTGTAGCTCTTTCACATCTATATTCAGCTAGTTTAGTAGCTAAGTTGTTTATGGAACATATGTATAAATTGCATGGATTGCTACAAATTATAATATGTGATATGTTTCAGTATTTTTCAGTAAATTCTAAAGGGAATTATTTGATTATCAAAGGGTTTCATTGCACTTCTATACCGTCTATCATCGTCAAATAAATGGGCAATTAAAGGTAGTTAATAGATGTTCATAGACTTATTTGAGGTGCATGACATCCGTTATTCCTAATGTATGGTGCAAATGGTTGTGCCTAATTGAGTTTTGGTACAACTCTTCATTCCACTCTTCTATTCAGCAATCTTCATTTGAAGCACTTTATGGTTATTCTTCTCCCATGCATTTTTCTTATCTCGCTTTATGATTGTAAAGAAACGGAAGTTAATGAGTTTATGCAAGATAATGAGACTCGTTATTCAAATGCTTAAGCATCAATTGGCTAAAGCCCAAAATAGGATGAAAATGTGGACGAGATAACAAATGCTCAATCAAGATTTTTCAAACTAGAGATCGGGTGTACTTAAAGTTACAACCTTACAATCAATAGTCTATGACATCCAAGAAAAACCAAAAGTTATCTCCTTGATTTTTTGTACCATTCAAGATTAGTGACAAGATTGGAGAGGTAGCTTACACACTTGCTATTACCCCTTCGTTCTTTGATTCATCCCACCTTCTATATCTTCCAACTCAAGCCTATCATTAGATCAGTTCATGTGTAGCTAGACTTACTCGAATCTTTATCTATGCCACTAGATCTAGTGGCCATTTTAGATAGAAAAATAATCAAGCAAGGCAATCAAGTCTGCTATTAATCTACTTATTCAGGTGATCTAATGGTACACATGATGATGTCACTTGAGAGTTTGCATATGTCATGGAAAAACATTTTTCATAATTCAACCTTGAGGACAAGATTTCTTGAAAAAAAAAAAAAGAGTATTAATGCAACTTTTTATTAATGAGTTACCAAGAGTTCTATATGGCAGTAAGTAGTAACTTTATGGCAAATTAAATGATAAGAGTTCTATATGGCAGTAAGTAATAACTTTATGGCAAATTAAATGATAATTGGTAGCTTAGTTGGCAAAAGAAGTTGGTATTATTAGTAACTAGGGAATTAGTTAACTTCATAGTTGGCATTAGTGGCAGTTAGAGGAACAATTAGTTAGGTTTGTCAACTACCAAAGGAGAGTGTGGGAAGTTAGTTGTGATGTTAACAAAATTATTCTCTCGCTTCATCTTTTTTAAATTCTCTCTAGCTTATTATATTCTTTTTCTTTGTATTTCTTTTCTTTTCCAAACAATTTCATGGTTACTATTCGTCATTTGTTTTCATTGATTGTAATGTAATTTAACTATTACATTAACATTTGATTTTGAATAAAAACCTTTGATTTTTTTACGTGTTGTTCTTGCAAATTCTAGTATTTTTCAACTGATTTGGAATTAGAATTGCATCAAAGAACGTGACAACATCAAGGGAAGAGCAAGTTTGTTAAGCTAATATTGTCCGCCTACCAATGAAAAAAATAGAGGTGCTTGATATTTATAAAGAGAAGAGAACAATAAGTAAGAGAGATGTAATGAATGTGCGAGGGCTTGGTTTGAGAAAGAATAAAAAGGAAAGGGAAGAGAGGGTATGTTAAAACAAAAAGAATTGCTTGACCTGTACAAATAGAGAGAAATAAAAAAGAAATAGAAAGGAAGAACATGTACGTAGTTAGCATGCTAAGGGAATGGTTAAGTAAGCTTCCTGGAGAGAGTAAAAAGTTCAGTTCATGTTCAAAATAGGGGCTTTAATAGTGAGGAAATTGGGTCGTGTTCTGGTACACCTGTATGAGACAATAAAAAGTTTAGTTTTTATTTGAAATAGAAATTTTATGAAATTCACATATATGTGTTTGTGATTTTTTGTAGATTTTTCAGTACATATTGATTCTATTTAGTATTTATTTTGGTATTTTGCATGCTAATTATATGATTTAATTTTTTATCTTTTTTTATGTGAGATCGTCGAGTCTTCAAAATTTTGAGAACCGAAGATGATCTCATGTAAGGCTTTGGTATAAAAAAGAAATTGATATTTAGATTAATTAAGAGAGTTAGGTCAAGTTAACAAGTCTCCTATTTATTAAGAGCTGATGGTGGTCTCAATATATTTTACTCAATGATAAAAATAAAATTAAAAAGAGAAGAAAGTAAACTAGCAAGAATGGATATAGGCCTTTTTTGGTATCTTAAGTTAAAATACTTTTTAGGCTGTTTCTAATATAAAAATTATTTAAAAACTTTTTAATTTAGAGTCCGACGTTAATTTAATATGAATTCATGATTAAAAAAAAAAAAACTTTTCGTCAAGACAACCTAGATAAACTTGAAAATAGACTTAATTAAATGACGGCACACCCTCTAAGTTCTTTTTTGTACAGTTGACAATAATCATGACATTGCTATACTCATTCAACAATAAATCAACAACATTAAATACATTTATCTTTTAATCAAAATATGAAAGCAATAAAGAAATGGACAATCTTGACGAAGCCTTTGGTAATAGAAACAACCAAAGCTTGAGGTGAAGGATTTCAAATCTTTTTTCTCACTGCCATTATTCATCATTTTTTTCTTAATTGTATCATTGCAAAACTATCTTTTCAGGTCATCGTTCATCTACGTATACTAATTTAGCTATAGGAGGGTTCTCCAACCCACTAGTCAGGGAGGCTTATTTTGTAAATATTCTAGATAGCGTTTATCTCCATCCATTATCACATTTCAAAACCGTACTAGCCAAAAAAAAAAAAAACTCATCACACATCATCTTGTGAGATTCACCACCTCGTCACAAGCCTTTTTAAGAGGGAAAAAGGATTTTACCACTCGCTTTCCATTTTTTGAAATTGATGGTTGGAGGAATTGCCAAATCGTGTATACTGCTGGAAGTAGAGGCCATGTCAGAGTTCATAATCATATCTCCTTGGTCACGCCACTGCTCCTCCACTGTATCATCGTCTTCGTCCTGTACATCACTAATTTTATCCATATTCTCATCACATTGGACCTGAGATGGCTGATTCCCCTCCATAATGGTAACCACCATATGTTTCTCCTTCATCAAACCAATTTGACAAACCTCATTCTTCAAAGACGTTACAAAACTTTGTTTGTAGACCAGTTGAAACATATGGGCTCTCCTTATGGTTCCCAATTGTTGCAAGGGGCGGGGCTTGGGTATGGCATGGCCTTTCAGCTTGGAACGGTAGTGAACCTAAAACTTTGAACAACAAAGAAAGTTCCCCAGGTTGGTCTTGAAAGTTTCTAACAATTCAATAGCAGGACCATTTTCCTTCTCTGTGATTACAATATCTCCTTCCTCCACCTTGATTTTCTTTATAGCGAGAAGGAAAGGAGCTCAGCATAGTATCTCATGGTCCAAGGCCTTAAGAGTCATCTGCGGTAAAATGATTGTAGATCAAGATAAAGAGGATTTAATAGTACATGATCCTCTCATATTTGGGTTAAAAGTGTAGGATATCCCTCTGTTATTTTAAATGTGTTAATTGTGTTTCTCTATTAAATTAAATTTTTTAATCATAGTATCTCTCTACTCTTAATTTGTATCTATATTTAGTCTTTTTTATTATTTTTTCAAGCAACGAGTAACAATTTCTAACTTAAGAATAATAGAATGATATTAATTTTTTTCTCTCAATTAAAGAATTAAATGAAATGAAAAATGAAAAACTCCAAATTACCTCATTTGAAAAACCTTTATATCCCAAATGTTCCATCACAATTCTAACCTAATGCTAAATTTCTTTCTCCTTCGCCTTCAATTAACAATCAAAATTGAGAGCATAGCGAGCTCAATGTCACGGATTTGGCTTTTTTAAGCTCACGTGCGGCACTTGGCTCTCTTCTTCTTTAAGACAAACCAAGTTAGCTTTCTTCACACAAAGTTGCTATGCAAGAAAGACACACACAAGAGATATAACCACTCTTTGTATTGCTTTCTAAAAGCTTACAACTCTAAAAATACACTCTCTTAATTTTATGAATGTCTAGGTGTCTTAGCCAAGTGAAAGCTTCACCTATTTATAACCTTCCACCTCCTCAATGGATGACTATGATCTATTTAATCTAATGACTATAATTGTTTCTACAGAAATATCCTATCTAGATATTTACGAGGAACTATCTGAAATATCTAGATATGTACATGTTAGATTAGTGAGAGACTCTCAGAATTCTCTAAAACATGTCCAGATTTCTGCAGATCATCTTAGAGACTTCTCAATGCTCCATACTCTTCTAAAAGCTTCGAGCCTTATTTAGAGGCTTCTCCTTTGCTCCATACTCTTCTAAAAGCTTCGGAATTATCTGAGAGCTTCTCCATTGTTCCATACTCTTCAGAAGCTTCTGAGACTTATCTAGTGTTCTCTAGAATCTCTAGAAAAATCCCTCTTTTAGGCGGAGCATAACATCAAGCTTGCAAGCAGCTCTCACCAAGTGCTCCTCCTCCAATAACTGGGCATCCTTAATCCTCTAAACCACAAAGCATTCTTTATCAAAAGCTGCAATTTGAGACCTGAATGTACCATGTTTTGCTGGCATGTATTCAGAGTCCTCATCGGAACTGTGCATACTCGATCAATGTTGACGTTGAAAGAGGAGCCAGTCCGAGAAGATGTTCTTATAGAGATCTTGTTTCTACTACTAATAACTTCTCTGCTGAGAGGAAGTTGGGCCAATGAGGGATTGGAGCTGTTTACTGAGGGCTGTTGACTGATTTAGATATGGCAATTGCTGTAAAGAAAATTTCGAGAGGTTCTAAACAGAGGGGGGGGGGGGGGGAATACATAACTGAAGTGAAGATAATTAGCCAGTTACGGCATCGAAATCTGGTGCAACTCATAGGTTGGTGTCATGATAGAGGTGGGTTCCTACTTGTCTATGAATTCATGCCAAATGGTAGCCTTGATTCTCACCTTTTTGGTAAGAAGATTCCTCTTACCTGGACTGCAGGATACAGAATAGCTCTTGGATTAGCCTCTGCTTTCTTCATGAAAAGTGGGAACAATGTGTTGTTCATCGCGATGTTAAATCAAGCAATATAATGCTCGATTCAAGTTTCAATGTCAAGCTCAGTGATTTTGGGTTAGCTCGACTCATGGACCATGAGCTAGGTCCGCGGACTAGAGGGTTGGCTGGAACTCCAGGCTATTTGGCTCCAGAATATATAAACACAGGTAGAGCTACCAACCAGCTCTTTTAAGAAGGTGATCAATGTTGTCCAAGCTGGAAGGATGAACTATACTCGCAACAGCCATGGAGGCTCTAAAGCAGCTCTCAAGACGATCAAGTAGAGCTTTCATAGTCTACAGAGTACCAGTTGATTCAATCAGACGAGCAAGCTGCTCAAATGACATTGACTTCACACAATTCTCATCGATTTTCAAGGCAGAAGGAGAAAGATATTTAGCACTAGGTTAGAATTGGGATGGAACATTTGGGATATAAGGTTTTTTTTAAGTGGAGCCAATTTGGGGTTTTTTTTTCTTTCTCATTTCATTTAGTTCTTTACTGACACTAGAAAATGAGAGGGAAAAAAAATTAATATCACATGTCATCATCTTATTACTCTTAAGTCAGAGTCAGAAAATTATATCTGATGTCTTAAAAAGCGAGCAGAGATGCTAAATGTAGTCACAAATTAAGAATAGAGAGATATAATTATTGAAAAATTTAATAAAAAAATACCATTAAAACATTTAAGATATTAGAAACATCCTGCATCTTTAATCCTTTCGAATGTGGTCTAATTCCATCTCTCCGCTCTCTAACCCAGATAAAAGTAATTTCCTGCAGATCGTAAGTTAAATTAGGCATAGTCATCTAACGGCCTATTATCATGTTCCTCTTATTTCCACATCTCAAGATTTAAGACTTAAAAAACATCCTTGAGGCCACCGTCCGGGCTAAAAAAAAAGCATTGCCTCATCTTGAAGGCATGCGGCCTGTGCTCTCGCATCCTTATTTTTCTGGACCAATAGACAAGCAGTAACATTAACCATTTTCACCCCAAAATGATATCATTGTCCTCTACCAGGTGAATTTGGACCCTGAATAAGTAGGAACATATAGCATTGATAAATGGAAACAAAATGTTTTGATGAAACCTTAATGAGAGTAGACTAAAATATCAAACAACAATACACACCAAAGCTGATCAAACTACAAATAGCTAATGAGAGAGTCAATGGCAATAAAGAACAGGAACTGTTTTATTTACAAGGCAATAGATCTTGTGAACACTTCTTCCATCTTATCTGTTATCCACATCCACACCAAGTCCTCATCCATAGACATAACTGCAATGAATTTGGAGTAGTGCTGACAGTAGAGAAATATAATATTTTGGGACAACCACTGACTCTGTTGTTTTTTCTTTTCTCTAGAAGAATGCAAGCAGATGCCATTTAATAGAGCTTTATTCTGGTCTGTATGGTGCTTCGACAGATGGGACATAATTGGAGATCTTGACCACAGTCACAGCATGTCTGCAATTAAATAAAGCTTAATATAAGATGCATTCCCATTTATATGATAGAGAGATAAAGCGAGAACTATATGTACCTGATGTCCACAACCGAAGGCCAAATCCTTAGGGTTGGTGAGGCAAATGGGACAAAGCTGCTCATGTCCAAGAGAAGGTTAAATTCATTATGTTCATTTTGGATCTAATATTGTATTCTTGTTCTAAGAGTAAATGCAATAGCAAGACTATAATCAGGAAGCTAGCACAATTAAATATAAATTTCAGCAGCAAAAATATATGAATCTGTGAAGTACATAATTATCAGTAGCAGAAGTTCCAGGAAGTGCTGTGCCAACTGTGTCACGTCTGCCAGAAGAAGGTGCACTTGGACGAGTGCTGCTTGATTGTGCAGGTTTTGGGTTTCTGAATGAAGTTGCACCAGCACCATACTGGGGAGGGGGAAGAGGAACCCTATCTATAGCCTTCCCTCTAGTAGCACTGATAAAGCAATGACATAATAAACAATTTGCATTCAACATTTCCTGGGCAGTAGAAACCTTCTGTTTAGTGTAGAGAAGTCAAATGTTACCCCAAAATATTAAGCTCTAGCGTTGCTTTATACTGAGAAGGTATTTCCATCAAAGCAGCAAGAGAAAACTCTGCTTCTTTTCTGGATCGGTCCATGTTCTTTGCCATTATTTCTGTAAAATTCACAAACTACAAAAGGTAGCATATCCCAGTTTAGCACTGACCAAGAACAAGTTAGGGAGCTACAGAACTTGCAAATAAAATTGAAGATAAGTTCTTGCCTGGAAATTGTCGAATGTCCGAGCAGGGATATTATCATCAAATTCCTTCATCATGTCCCATGGTCCATCTCCAACACCAACTAATATAATGGACAGGGGGTACTCACTGCAAACTAACATGACATCAAAAGGAGTTTTGGGAAAGAAAAAATTACTTATGTAACAAGGCTAAACATTTTACCTTGCTTTTACAATTGCTTCAACAGTTTTCTTTTCTTGCAGGCTTAGTTGGCCATGCTCAGTGTCGACACTTCTTGTCACCTGTGGCAACCCATAGTTCATATAATTAATCTTAAATAAATGAGATAAAAGTGACCATGTGTGAAATTAAGGCGAGATTTTGTTGTTGCATGTAACAGATATTGAGTTTGAAAGATATCTTAATTAGTATTATTATAATTCTAGTTTTTCTAGGTCCAAACTCAAAACTAGTAATAATAAGTGATCTCGCTTGCTTTATATATATATATATATATATATATATATATATATATATATTTCAGAAATGCTAATCTCTTTGATTAATCGGGCATATCAGCTGAGTTGCTTGGTTCATTAGAAAGCTTGATAAGACCAGCTACATAACCTCAGTTGCTGCCTGACGTGCTAAACAGCTAGAATCACCAAACAAAATAACCAGAAATCAAATAACCAAGAACTCTATCATTGCCAATTAAACATTGGTCCAGTGATTAAGGACTTAAAGCTGAGGCTTCACGGTTAGAGTGCCATTTCCAATCACCCCCATTGCAGATTATTCAAAAGAAAAAATACAAACAAAAAGAAACTCTTACCATGTTCTTTTGATTAAATTTCCCTGAACAAAATTTATTTCAGTAGCAGCAAGATCGCTCAATTACAAAAAAACATGAAAGACTTGAAATGCAGCTTTCTCACCTGAAACTACATTTTTAATGGAAGTTCAAGGCCTGGAATCAAGCTTATAGTTACGCTAAAACAAAATATTATCGTTTCTGATTATTTCAAATGCAATGCAGTTGAAGCAAAAAGCGAAAAATTCATATCACATGCAAACTTGTGCTGGTAACTCATCACATTCTATGAAATATCAAACACAAACACAAAGTACCTGCCCATCAGCTATTATAAGTAAAACGTGGTACTGGCCACCACTTTGCTCAACTATAGTAATCGCCATTTCAATGACAGGGGCAAAAGATGTTGGTCCTATCAAAATATAAAAAAGTGAGGAAAATCAGTAAGCAGAAAAGCAACCAAGAATAGAAGCTATTGAAAGGGATTCATTTGCAACCTGCAAGTCGTAGATGGGGGACCAATTCTCTATACCGTCTCAAAACTTCTTCAAATCCATTACAAAACCTCTCATCCGGATAAAAACTGAAAACTTCTTGATCATGCGTTGATGCTGATAGGTTATATAATTGCATATTATCAGTTATCATGAGGATTGAAATTTTTAACTGTCAATGCAACACTTGTTCTGAGAAATACCATCTCCAAATCCAAAACAGGGAATTAAGTTATCCTCATCAAAGGAAGATAGAGTTTTTCCAATGATAGATATTGCTTGTTCGTAGGGATTTTGATCATCTCCAATGTGATGCAGGCTTCTCCGGTTGAATGATCTTGCACCTAATATTTAAGAAGGTTAACAAATTAATGCAACTTGAAAAATAAAAGGATAAAAAACAAAGAGCTTGAATATGCACAGTTGAGGTCAAACCTGTCCACTCATTGCTTTTTGTGAAATCAATACCCACAATGAGATTTGAAGATTCCAAGCCAGCACGTGCCAAGGCTTCAGTAACCTGTGAATAGGTCGATTGTGGCACAATATCACACTCTTTGTAGCAACAAAATGTTATCAGAATCAACATTACTGAATCTGTTCCCCAGATATTCATAAGAGATTAAATATCCTGGTTTCATTAGAGTAATTCACCCTTGGTCAAAAACGTTTGAAAAAAAAAAAAAACCTTCAGAATTCAAGATGGTATGCAAATTTTCTTCCAAGAGAAGCAAATCTATAACATATTCTCAAAGGTAGCATCTTCCACACTTTGCAACAAAGGTCAGCTGCATTTAATGAAAAAAGACTATCGCACCTATACAATGGATATGCTGATATACAGAGAAATGAAAAAGAATATTGCACCTGTTCCAGGCTAATGTAATTATCATCTATCTTTGAATACTTTCTCTCCAACCTCCTAGAATTTGTTGCTCGGTCACCATGGCCCTGAGGTGGAGGTGCATAGTGAGGGTATGGCATATATTCTTGGCTTGGTTGAGCATATGATGACGGCGGATAGCCTTGATGACTCCATGAAGGAGAACTAGAAGGATGGCGTGAACTTGTACGTGTGGAGAGTATCCCACCCATCAATACTACAAACTATCAATTCTCTGCAACTCCAATGAATGTGAAAACAATTCACTCTCCCAAATAGAAGAAAATGGAAAAATAGTCATCATCATGGGAACTAAGTTGACCCGGTCTTTCTGACAATTGTTTTTTGTAAACCTTTCTTTATTTTGATAGGGCAGCTTTCTATTCATTTTAATGAAACTGCAACTCTAAAAGTCTCAATGATAAAGACTACCATAAATTCTACGGAAAAAAAATAAAAATTGAGAAAACATAAACTCATAATTACAAGAAAAATTTCCCTTTCGGACCCGCAACTACGTTATTCAAAAATAAATAGTGCGAGGTAGAAAATGTTGCTAATAGCCATAGGGCAAAGAAAGTTCTAGGAAAACAAGTGTTAATTCATGACTTCCGAAGCTAATTTTAACAAAGAAAATAAAAAGGAGAAAATCCATACATGCCAAAAAAAAAAAAAAAAAAAAAAACAGGTCAATTGTCTATCATTTCGAAGTGTTCTTATCTGGTATTGATGTGGGACCTGCATAAGCAACAGCAAATTTTTGCCTGATGTAAAACGAGACATTCAATGGATCAAGTGGGTCATCCTAATTCTTCTAAAAGACAATCATATAACTTGTTTTGCATCATTCAAGCACTATTTTTGCCACAGAAATCTGATATCAAGACTTTTCTCTTTAGTCAATAACCAAGAAACAGAGTTCCAAAATTGTAACCTGAAATAGCAACATACTTTTCTTGTACTCTTGGTAATTCACACCAGTGATCATACAAGTTTATAGTCACAATCTACATTCAGTATACAAGAAATATCATTTTTTCCAAATTCCAGACCAACCCATGTTAGAATAGTTCAAGAAAAGAAACAAGATTCTTTAAACTAGAAGAATTAAATAAAAATATACCTTAACAAGAGCTGAGCTTCCCCTGCATTAATTCTTGATTGTAGATTGAAAGAGGCAAAGGGGTAGAGTGATATCAGTGGGCGGAGCAGTACGTGTGAGATAGATAGCAACGTGGAAATGGTCGTTGGGTTGAAGTTGAACCGAAGAAAGTAGAGTGGGTATTTTCGTGGAAGTTTCCTTTCCTTATACAAAGTGTTCCTTCGTATCGTGGCATGGGGACACCCCAACACCCACTTGCTCATTTTACTCAATTTTGGTATTCTAACCCATGTTCGTGTCCGATCCTCATGAACTAAGACTGATTGATTTCCGAAAGTAATTAACATGGTTACCTTGTGTTGGTTTACTGTAAAAATAGAAGGTTAAGCGTCGAGTTTAGCACAGTCCTAATGCTAGTTGTTGAGTTTATCATAGTTCTGATTCTTATAAATAAATTATGTTCAATCTCACAAAACATACATCGACTCTTGACATTTTTGTAATGTGACATCTGTATGTTTTTTTCTTATTCAACATCTCTTCGTACTCTTTAATTTTTCTTAAAGTTACTCATCTCATTGAAATCTGATCAATCTTTCGGTTAGTGGTGACGAGATGACAAAAAAAATGATCACGTGACATGACGCATCAAAAATAATTTTCACATGACCCAAAAAAGACATGCTAATATCCGAAAACCAATTACATAAAGGAGGGAAAAAAGAGGAAAAAAAAACCATGTATAAAAGCAAAAGTTTATTTTATCTCTCATGTCACGAGTTGAGAGAGATTAATCCGGAAGAACTAACATGTTTTCTCTTCATCATTTGGCTTCGATTTTCTTAATTTGGTGAGATAATATGTTCACCATTGATCCATAAACAATTGAACCCAAAGATCATTAGATCTCGCTTCGTTATTCTAGCAAAATTATTATTCAATAACTCGAAACCTCAATGTTTGAAAATCCCCAATTTGAAACCCTAAATACCTCATCTAGTAATTTAACATCAAGTATTTGTTATTATTGGTAAAGACACTGTCTTTATTGTCCCCTAACCAATATCAATTTATTCTTCCTTTCTCTTACTTTGTATCGCGATAAAGTGGATTACAATATATATATATATATATATATATATATATATAATCTCACCAAAAAGATAATTTGTTTTGTCTTCTTTTGTCGGTTTAGTATATCTGTTTTATTTGTTTAAGCGAGTATTGGTCCTTAATATTATAAAGATAACGCGATAAAGTAGACAAGAATAAAAAAAAGGAATATAATATTGTTTTGGGATCTTAAATATCTCATGTGTAGTTCTTGCTTTGTCATTAGTTTGCCAACAAGGTAGATTTTTTTATTCTCAATCAACTTATTATGTTATATACTATTATGTGCATTAATGTGTATTACCTTAAAATCCAATTGTGGGTTGATTGTGGTTACTATTTTTTTTATTGGTTGTGTGTGACGTATGAAAACATTTACTTTTTATTTAGATGGGTCCGTGAAAAGATTAGTGGGTCCAATGGGTTTATGGGTTGAATATGTTGGTGGGTGTGTGTTTGAGAAGAAAATATTGACTTAGATTATTGTGCTTTAGAACTCTCTTAAAATTAGCACATGAATTTAGTAGAAAGGATATTGTGTTTGTGTATTACAATGATCTTTTTGCTATACCACAGTCCCAATCTTTGTTTCTTAAGTTAGTGCATGATGACAAAAGTTTGATAAGGTTGTTAAGCTTGATAGAGAAAGTTGAAAAAGTTAAAATTTGTTACGAATATGGACTTAAAGGCCATCCATTACTCGGTGAGGGTAGTCCGTCTAGGCTGTGTCTACGATTAAGGCTTACTAACCATAGTCTTAAGTTGGGTTTTGAGGATAAGAGAGAAGAACATGTTCATGAATTAATTGATGAGAAGATAGTAAATAGAGAAGAAGATATAGCTAAGGATTTAAGCGATGTTGGTTTTGTTAATAGTAAAAAGGTAAGTGAGGATGATTTAGTTGATATTTTACTAGGTAGGGGTAATTTGGATGATGAATTAAGGTGATGTTGGTTATAAGGTTGGTGGGAAAAAGTCCGATACATCCGAGAGTGAATGTGTTGAAAATTATGGTGATAAAGCTTTTGAATGTTAATGATTGTTTGATGATAGAGATAAGGAGTTGCAAGATGTTAAAAATCGAGGTTAGAAAAGTACATAAGAGAAGGAGTGGTTTAAATTTAGAGGGAAATGAGGCTATCGAGTTTGGAGGGAAATAGGGCAAACAATTTGAAGGGAAATTAGGGTCAAAATTTAGAGGGAAACTTGAGTGAGGATGAAAATAGAGAGAGAAATGAGGTTGAAAATGATTGTGATAATGAATTCTTAAATGTCCTTATAAAGAAGATTAAAATAGTAGAAGCAAAACATGAATACGACTCTAATGCAAGAGTTAGTATAGATAGTAGTGATGAGGATAATAAGAAGCATGGGAGAAGAAGGAAATCCAAGAAAGTTTTTTTCAACCCTAACATAACTTATCTACATTTTTAGGTTGCAATGATTTTTGCTAGTAAGAAGCGATTTACTAGTGGAGTGATTAAGCATTCTTTGAAGTATATGAGGGATGTAAAGCTTAAAAAGAATGATAGAAAAAAAGGTTAGATCAGTATGTAAAGATGGGGAATTTGCTTTCACAATTCTATGTTCTCCATATGAAAATCGAAAACTAGATGGTGAAGATATATATGGCAAAACATAGTTGCGATACTTATTTACAAGAATAGTCGATTGAGTTATAAAGTTTTGGGTAAGTATTTAATTCATAAATTTGGTAGAGTTTGCTTAAAAATGACATTGAAGAAAATTATTAAGGTAGCTAAGAAGGATTATGGTTCGGGGATCTCATTCACACTTACTCGAGCATATACAAAATTAGTACAAACTAGAGATTAAAGTTAATGTAAAGTCTAAATTTGGTAGAATTAAAGAGTATACTTGCGGAATTAAGTAGACTTAAAGATTATACTATAGAATTAAGAGCTAGTAATGAGGGTATCAATGTTATCCTTCAATATAAGGAGGAATCCAAAAAGTTTCGGAAGATGTATGTAGGTTATAAAGCATTGAGAGATTATTTTTTTTGGAGGGTATAAGAGGATTATAGGTTTAGATGGCTGCTTCCTCGAGGACATCTTAAGGAGGAAATTCTAATTGCTATAGGTAGGGATGCAAACAAGTAGATGTTTCCTATTTGTTGGGTAGTTGTAATAAAGGAAACAAAGGGAATATGAAAGTGGCTCTTGCTTTAAATTATGGGCTGATTTGAAAATTCTAATGGACCTTAGACATAGGTGGACCTTCATCTCAAATTCTCATAAGGTGATGCATTACTTTAAATTTTTTTTCTATGTAACAATTAAATCAATTTTAGAGGTTAGTTTTAATTTTAAATTTTTTATCGGAATAAATTTTCTTGTTGTTAAATATTTTGACATAGGGCTTACTAGGTGTTGTAGTTGAGGCTGTCGATTGGTGTAGAACATTAGAGATGTGTTAGACACATCTTTGCTAATTGAAGGAAGATGCATAAAGGTGAAAAATTACATAAGTTGTTTTGGAAATGTTATACGGACACTACACCTTAAGACTTAGAAGAAAACTTAAAGCTGCTAGAAGGGATAAGGCTTAATGCAAAAGCAGATTTTAAAAAGATCCCACTTGATCGGTGGTGTAGGGCTTATTTTAGACTCGAAATCTAGTGTGATATGATGGATAATAATAAATGTGAGACTTTTAATGGAATTATCATTGAACCTAGGTTCAAAAGCATTGTGAGTATGCTAAAGGATATTAAGGTGTATGTTATGGTTCAAATAATTTTAAAGAGAATGTTTGTTGAGAAAAAATGTAAGGGTCCAATTGAACATAAAATTGAGGAAGTGATTAAGAAAAAATAGAAAAATTAGTGATGATTTTAAGGTGTTCGAAATAGGAGTAAAGATTGGGAGGTAAAGTTGAATATATAAGGATGATAAGTTTATCGTTAACATGGAGCAAAAAAAATGCACTTGTAAGAGGTGGGATATCTCGGGTATTCCTTGTGAGCATGCATTT